ACTGTCCCTGGGGGTCTGAGACTGTGACTCCTTCCTGGAGTAGCAAACCCAGTCTTCTCCCTCAGCTGGTGTCACTACTTCGGACCTGGCATTAGCAGCCCAAAGTGTAACCACTACACCACCAGGGCGCCAAGGAAGGTGACAGTGAGCCTAACTAGTCTACTCCCCGGGTGACTTCGTGTTGCTTCCACTGTTAACCATGAATTTGGAAAGAATTTGTCTATACCTTTAGGAAGGTTTATTTTTATTATTGTCTTGTTATTTGGAAAATGACAAATGCTAATCATTTCTGGGTATGACTTTTTGTCACTATTCTATGTGAAGTATGCTATCCCTTGGCTTTTATTTAGTCATGACAATAAATAACCTTTGTTTTCAATCACTGGAAACCCATTCTTTGGGATTTCTCCAAGATGATATTTGAATATGTAAAGCTGTCTATTTAAGTTATCAGCATACTGCTTCTTTTCTGCTTATGACCACCTCTTGTATTCTTCTATCCCATTTAAGAATTTAAGAAACATAGAAGACTTACTAAAATAAATTAGGAAATTTTAAAAGGGAAAGGAATGAAGGGTCATTAACGAAAAGACGCCTTTGCTGAGAAAATCAAGGCTCAAAAGAGATTTGGATCACATAGCCAGGTAGCATGACTCATGTTAACAGAAGATGTAGAATAATGTAATTTCATATCTACAAGGAGATATGCTCTTACAAGGGGAACAATTATGAGCCATGCTTTTATTTTAAGATAAATGAGATGCTCAAAAACACCAACAGAAATTCAGGATTTACAGGAAGAGAAGGGGAATAAAGCAAAGGCTTCAGGATTAAGAAAGCAACTTTGATAAGGACTCCTGATAGAAAAGAAGTTCTTCTGCAGAACTACGTAGTAGGTATGGGTCGAACACAACAACAATTAAGTAGCCAGCACAGGACAAGGAAACATATTGTTCTTTCATATATCAGATCACTATGAGAGCAGTAACATCCAGTCAGGAAAAAAAAGCTCACAAAGCATTTTCCATGAGTATAAATACAATGAGTCATTTTGAAAATGAAGGCATGGGATTGTGAATTTCATGTGCATTGTTAAAGGACTTTGGGAAACTTCTCTAACATTATTCTATACACGTTCTTTATAGGGAGGCTGTTATTCACAACAGGTCGGTACAAACTGATGCCTCTAGGAATTAAGGCATGAAAGGAAGAAAATGATCACTTCTGAGTTGGAGAAGGTATTAATCAGACAATAATATGCACTATAAAAGTTCACATGTGTTTTGTATTATATTTCAGAAGCTTGGAAATAACAACACCAAAAATTGGAATCATTTAAAGAAAATGCTTGTAGTATGGCTTACTTTTTTAATTCAAAAATCTCCACAACAGATTCTCTTATTTTAGGGGTAAGTGGAACTTCGTTTTCACTGACTAAATAAAATATTATGTACTGTTTCAATTTAAGAAGATAGTCTTGAATAGAGAAAGGGACAGGGCTTGTCAACAGGGTATATGTTTATCTTTTGAGTGTCAATTGCTACAAATTTCAATGGAGGTCATGTCACTTCATAAATGACTGCTTAAATAGAAACAGTGACGAAGCCAAGAAAAACCTAGGAAATATAGAAATCCACATAAGGAATAAGTAAAAGGAGTCAGGCAGGAATAGAGAGCTTACTCTGAGGAACAGAATTGCCTCTAATCTTTTCAAAGTACTGTACTGATGTCTGTGCTATCAAATGATTATAAACTCGGCTCTTCTGTTAATTCACAAACACTGGAGGTTCTAGATAGTGTGTCTAGTTCTCGTAACACAAGGACTTGGGATCATGCTCATTCACATCAGAGAGGAAGAATTTTTTCCCACTAACTGTGAACTTTTCCTCACAATTTAGCTATGTGGACCTGTTGTCAAAGCCTGTCATTGGACAGTTGAGCCAGAGGTTCTTTAAGTTATTGAAGTGCTAGGCCCCTTTGGTTGTAGGGTGAAAGTTCTGAACCTTCTTCTCTGAGAAATGCCCATGTTCACAAGCCTCTGTGCCCAATTTTGGAGGAGTGGCTCCTTGAATCCACTCATTGACTGTAGATGAAGCACTATTTTTTTTTTTCAAAACATTTACTTTCTTTTTTATATATTCTAAATTTAATTCTTTTTCTTTTTCTTTTTTTAAATCATTTTATTGAGGGCTCATACAA